GGGGGGAGCACATGCTGTGAGATTCCTAGATCCTGGTGGGAACGTTGGGCTCCAAGGGCTCAAGAAGGGGGAGGGTCCTTGTCTCACCCCTTTGACTCCTCCGAACCTAAATACAGTGTCAAAAAGGACCTTAGCTCAGCTCCACACCCTCTTGCTCTGTTAGATTCCAGCCCCCGTTATAGCAAACAATCTGCAAAAGAACACTCTAAAGCAAACTGAATTATTTGATTTATTAAACTCATTTTTCGTGAGATAGAGGGAAGTTCTCACACCCCCCCTTCCATCCCATACAGAGCTCACTGCCCCGCACCCCGAGCTGGGGAGCAGCGATTCCCAAATGCCCAGCAGGCGCACAGGCTCGTCTGTGGTTCCAGTTTGTGGTTTCCAGTTTGCCTGCCCAGGCCCAGCGCGGCTTCCGGTGGGAGCGCGGTGGTTTTCCTGCAGAAGAGGCAGGCCCAGTGGATGCATGGGGCCCTCCCCCCCACTCACCTCCCTCCCCAACTCGGTCTCTGAAAGGAGAGGGTAAGTTTGGGAAGATTCTTTTAGACATAAAAAACAAAAAAGAAAAGAAAAGAAAGGGGGGAAAAGAAAAGGGCTCTTGGGCAAGTGAGGTTGATGAGCACCCTCCAAGGGGCTGAGGAAGCTCCAGCTCCTGCAGAAGAGACAACCCATCTGGGAAGTGTGGCCAAAGGATAACTTAAAAGCACACGGAGTCGGCCTAGACACGGAGGGGGGGGTGAGTAGGAAGGAGTTTCTTCCCTTCTAGAGGCAAACGCTGCCCCCCCCCAGACACACTTAATTCCTGGACATTTTAGCAAGAGTTTGTTCTTGCAGGTGTTTTGAATAATAAAGAGTGGGGAAAAAAATCACTTTAGAGTCCATTAATCTTCTTTGGATGGGCAGTTTCTTCCAAGACTTTTTTCTTTCTTCAGGTTTGTTTTCCCTCATAAGAGTCCACTTGCTGACACACCTCGGGAAGAAGCCGCAGCAGACAGAGAGAATGGACGGGGCCACACTCCTAAACCCAGAGCTGAGTTCCACTCCCGGGAGCTGAGGTTCGGACACGGAGGCCAACTGCCCTCTTTGGGTAGTTTACTTAGAGCCTTTTCTAAATAACAGCCAGCATTCTAGGCTCGGAGACGTTTGCTATCGCAGTACTTACCAATGAATTCTACAAGATTCTTCAAACTCTTTGTCTGATTTATAAAACTGTGTACACAGCTAAGCTCCTTGCCACATTTATCACTCAAGCAGAAAAGCAGTTCGTTTTCTCACAGCCCCAAATGCCCCGGTATTGTCGCTGGAGCAATTTTTTAAATTTTTTATTACAGTTGGCATAGGATGTTAGATTAGTTTCAGGTGTACAATGGTGGATGGTCATTCATATAACTTACCAAGTGCTCGCTCCGATAATGGAGCGAATTTTTTCCTGTTTCGTAAATGCCCTCGTCGTCTCTGCGGAGCCACGGGGCTCAGGGCACAGCCCCGGCGGCTGTGACCTCTCGGGCGGGGCGCGCTGAGGTTTCCTAGGGAGCGAGCGAGTTCCCTCTCCCCTCGGCCCAGAGTGGCCGCGGCTTCCTGGGCAGAAACCTGCCGTCCGGGTGGAAGCCAAGCGTCTCCGCCGCGTCGGCAAAGGGCTGACGGTGTCGCCTCTCCCAGGGCTGGGGTGGGGGTGGGACAGGGCACGCCGTCACCTTCGACAGTAAACTAAAATAACCAGATGCTCCCTGAACCTCGTTAATCCCTGTTAGCGGTGCCGACGCGCTGGAGAGGCCGTCTTACCTCCAGAGGTGCCTTCGCCCCCGAGGGCCCGGGCTTCCAGCCGCACCCCACGGCGGGCCCGCGCCCGAGGGGAGGTGCTCCGACGGCAAAAACCCCATACATTTTTAACTACAGTGATTACTAAATTAATAGCAGGCGCTAAGACAGATGTCAAAACGTCTTGAAAATGTTTATGTGTGAATAATTGAGAAGGTGGTGGGACGCATTATCTGATTGCGCAATGAAATATGTATGAGGAACAGCTGTTTGCAGCGGTCCCCTCCCGCCACCTCCTGGGGGCCCTGCTCCCCGGCGTCGGTCGCCCGCCCGCGTCCACTTGGGAGCCCGCTGCCCCC